AAAAATTTACAGCCAATTTTGAAAGAGATGCATCTTAGCTCTGGAAATGGTTATTGAATATGTCAATGCTGTTGTGATGAAATGCTTCTTCTAATTATGTGGTTATTAAATAAAAAATTTTTTGAAAAGAAAAAAAAAGTTAATGCAGTGCTAATATATACTACAACACAGACGGACCTCGCATTGTGATAACTGACAGAAGAAAGACACAAACGCTTCCCCCGCCCTGCTGCACAATTCTATTAATAACTAAATTTCCGAAGCAGGTAAATCATTAAGATGGAAGTGGAGAGTGACTGCTTAAATGGGTGCAGAGTTTCCTGTTGGGGTAATTAACATGTTCTCGAGCAAGAAGTGACGGTGGTACGACACCGTGACTGTGCCAACCGCACCGACGAGTGCACGTTAAACCGCTAATTTATGCAAATTTCGCCTCAAATGTGCTGCAAGTGCTGACGCATAGACTAAAAAGAGAGCATAGGGACCTCCTATACAGATACCTAAGGAAGCAGCATGATGTGGCCCACTGTTCCTTGTGTGAATACGGCTTAGATCAAGAGGCTTCCAGGAAACTGTATGGCTGCTAGTCATTGCTGTGAATTCACTGTTTCTGAGGTTAGGAATACACAGTTAGCACCCTGTGTCCTTGCATTCTACATCCACAAATTGAACAAACCATTATTCAGAAACATTCTGGAAGGGCCTACAAAAGGGCTCAGTAGGTAAGGGAGCTTGTGACCAAGACTGGTGACCTGAGTTCAATCCCCAGAACTCACATAATAGAAGGAAAGAACTGATTCCTACAAGTTGTCTTCTGATCTCCACATGTGTGTCCTGGCATGTGTGTACACACTTGTACACATACACATACATACACATATGCACAATAAACAAGTAAATAAATAAATAAATAAATAAATAAGTAAATTAATAAATAAATGCAAAAATTTCAGGAAAATGGCCAGGCATGATGGTAAACACCTTTACTACCAGCATGCAGGAGGCAGAAGCAGGTGGATCTTTGTGAGTTCAGGGCCAGCATGGACTATAGAGGGTTCCAGGCCAGCCAGAGCTATCTAGTGAGAGCCTGTCTCAAAAAAATTTTTTTTTCAGGAAAAATATAGTATATGTACTGAATGTATTTCTTCCTCGTCATTACTCCCTGGATAATATAACAGAATATTTATTTACAGAGCATTTATGCTGCATTAGTTATGACAAGCAATAGAGAGATTATTACAGTGTACAGGAGGGTTCCATAGCTCATACATAAATACAGTGCCATTTTACACAGTCTTGAGCAACTTCAGATGCTGGTCCTGGACTCAACCCCCATCTCGGGTGATAAGGGGTGACTGAATGTTCTTTTCTAATGACCTACTTTGAAGTGCACCCTACTTTTTATGTCAATTCACGGGTTCAATCACTGCCAACTTCTAAGACAAAACAGTGTCAGAGAGGCCAGAAGAACGTGCTGTTCTAATAAATATTCTCTATTGAATGCAGGGGAGTGAGCAATTAATAATTTGCAGGAACAGATGACATCAGTGCTTCTGGCCAAAGATGTTAAAGAAGAATGGGTTTCTACCTCAACACCCTGCAGAGCTAACAAATAACCCACTGCAGATAATTCAATATGACAATTTATGTAAATGTGCATTCCATACTCTCAGGGCCTGATGGTTAATACTGATGTCAACTTGAAAGGGTTTAGAATCATCTTAGGGACACATCACTGGGCATGTCTGTAAGGGAGTTTCTAGACTGGATTAATTGAGGTGAGACCATCTGTCCTGAATACAGGTTGCATCATGTCACGGGTTGTAGTCCTGGTATAAAAAGGAGAATGTGAGCTTGGCACTGGCTGTCGTTGCTCTCTGCTTCCTGACTAGACACAGGATGATGCATTCTTCTCCGTGATGGACTGTTTCCCAACATATTGATCTAAAAGAACTGCCCCCCCCACCTTTAAAAAAATATTTTATTTATTTATTTATTTATTTATTTATTTATTTTATTTTTGATCTTTCTGAGACAGGGTCTTTCTGTAGCCCCAGCTGGCCTGGAACTCACTATGTAGACCAGGTTGACTTTGAAAACAGAGATCCGCCTGCCTCTGCCTCCCTGGTGCTGGGATTAAGGGCATGTGCCACCACACCCAGCTTTATTTTTATTTTATATGTATGAGTGTACTGCCTGCATATGTGCAAGTGCACCCATGTTGTGAAATGCCCACGGAGGTCCAAAGAGGGCATTAGATCCCCTGGAACTGGAGTTATGGATGGTTGTTAGAGCCATGTAGGTGCTGGGAATCGAACCTGAGTCCTCTGTAAGAACAGTCAGTGCTTTAAACTGCTGAGCCATCTCTCCAGCCCCCAAAACCCCTTCTTAAATTGCTTTTGTTGGGTATTTTTTCACAGCAAGGAGAAAAGCAACTAACACAAAGGGCATCTACTCCAAGGCAGAGATGCAATATAAGGAAGCCTTGAAGAGACAAGAGTAGGAGAGCCCTGGCTATGATGAAAACTCCCTGCCCCTTCAGTTCTCAAAGCCATCCTTGGAAGTACCCAAGGTGAAGCAAGGGAGGGTGACCATGAGGAGACCATACGACTGCTTTCTGCCTATCATCCTGACCAGGACAGGCCACATCCATACAAACTCCTGGATGTCAGAGAGCTGTGATGTGACACTCTGCCCCACCTTCCAGAGAACAAACCAAAAGGACAGACCACACACACACACACACACACACACACACACACACACACACCCCTCATGATATTTTAAGGAAGTTTACAATTTTGTGTTGGGTCACTTTCATAGCTCTATTGTGGCCTGTAGGCTGCAGGTTGGACATACCTGCAAGAATGGTATGAGACAGACAGACAGACAGACAGACAGACAGACAGACAGACATAGAACACAGGTAAATCGTGGCAGCTGCTCACACTCAATGTAAGTTTAGTCACTTGTGTTTATCATTAAGGCATTCAGGAATGTCAGGTGTAGAAGGGACCTAGGCTGCCACTGACATCAGTGGTCCTCACCAGGTGACTGGCTACATCTGAATCTCCTGTCAAACTTTCCAAAAATGCAGGTCCCCAGGCCGCAATCCTAGAGCTTCGAATTCAGCACATCTGGCTTGGGACTCAGGAATCTGTATTTCGAACGCTCTGTGGGAGGTATTGGTTTGCAGCCACGTTTCTGTCCCTCCAGCCCACGTTCTTATTTAAGAGGTAAGGAAACTGCAGTCTAGCGCAGTGAAAGTGATTTGTCAAAGGTCTCATGGCTGCCTAGAGACTGTTGGGAACTGTCTGGATCAGTGGTTACTACAACTAGCCAGACATGAGTCACTTGCTGGGCCTGGCCCAGACCCACTACACCAGGAGTGTAGGAAAGAGGCTGGAGCAGCTGGGATTTGCTCCAGGAGCTCTTCCCATCCTGATGCAGGGCCAGAGTAGAGGACTCTGTACCAAGATTTCTGGTTCTTTTCAGTCTCACATGCTGGACACCACATTCCAGCTAGGAACCAGGGATGATCACATGTCCGCACCCTGAGCAACCTGCTACCAGCACAGCCTCCAGCCAATTTTAGTGATTTAGCAACTGTGCTTCTCCCTCTTTGGGAAAGAGGATTTGAGAAGTCAGAGCTCACCGCTGCATAGTTCAGGGCCTTGTATGTCCCCTGTTTCTCAATGCAACTGAGAACACAGTGTGTGGAAAGATTAACATTGAAGTGGAGCAATACGTCTATAGCCTTACCACCCTGAGCATGCCCAATCACGTCTGAAAAGGAGCAAGAAGTACCCCTTGTACTTCCTGAAGGAGACGACAAAAGAAAGCTATGTTTCTTCAAGCATCTCCAAGTCCCCAGCTGCCCAAGCTAGTAAGAAGACAGTCCAACTTCCAGAACTTTCTTCCTAAAAGCTATTCTAAAAAATCTCAAGATTGCTTATGCAGACCCAGTAGCAGTCCTACCTACACTCCCTACATGGCCACTCCATACACAAGTTCCCTGCTTATGGTGAGTCAGATTCTCAAGGGCCATAAGTCCAAAGTTAACAAGTTACCCTGGATTCACTACATCAAGAACTGAAATTCTGAATAGCCAAGATGTGGAACCAACCTTGATGCCCATCAGCAGGTGAGTGGATAAAGAAAATGTGGTACATACACACAGTGGAGCTTTACTTAGCCATACATATGGATACTGGAGATTATAATGTCAAGCCAGACTCAGAGACAAATACTGTATGCTCTCTCCTCTTATATTGTATGTATTAGCTATATACATCATATAATATGTAAGCTATATATTATGTAAATATATATGAGGGTGAAGGGAGGGCACTGTAGGGGAGGAAAGGGATCTAAAGGGCAGCAGAGAACACAAAGGGTAATGGATGTGGGGAAAGAAAGGCAAACATCACGTTCACTCCCGCACATGGATCTAGATTCATAGATGCAGATACAGATATGACTTGAAAGCAGAAGAAGGACCAGAGATAAGAACGGGACCAGCAGGAGCAGGGATGGGGCTGGGGAGAAGAGGTATGGAAAGCACAGAACAATGGTATGCATGGATAAAATGTCATGACGAAACCTAATATTTTGTATGTTAACTAAAAATAACTTTTTTTAAAAGATTGTGACTCAGTTATG